TCACCCCACCTGGGCCTCGCCCCACCTGGGCCTCCTGCAGCTTGGCCTCCAAGTCAGCCATGTCCAGGTGGTGGTAGCGGTATTTATGGGCCTTACATAGACGGATGCCATCAATGATGGAGGCGTGGTTCAGCTCGTCTGACAGGACTGCATCCTGTGAGGTCAGCAGGGCCTGGGAGAAAGCAGCTGGAGTGGAGCTTCTGTCCAACCACCTAGGGGTTCTCCCTCCCCATGTCTACGTGAGTCAAAATTTCACTGCTATCCAGGGCATTCTACCGGGCAGGGAGGCACGGAGCCCCTGTCTGCCTCTATCTGGGTCCTCAGGGCTCCAGGCCAGGGCCCAGCTCCTGTGAGAGCCGGTGAGAACAGGCGAGTACCCGGCCCTAGCTAACTCCAACCTTCCCACTGATGTAGGTTATCTCCCCAGTGCCCTGGGAGCTGGTCCCTTGCAGGTCCCAGGATTCTTCCTGTAGCAACCTACTTGGCCCAAGCTTAGCCTCCAGGAGAAAAGGGCCCTGGAGCCTCTAGGCACAGCACTGACATCCTGCCAGGTTCCCCTCACTGCTCACTCCCAAGCCTTCCACCATAGCCTAGCAGTCCTCACCACTCCCACCTGCGCCCCCACCCCCACCCCCCCAAACCTCAAAAAGGCCAGCGTTGGCATCGAAACAGCTAGGATATAGGATGGTATCCTCCCGCTGATGGAAGCGGGCTATCTTTGCTTCTAGATCCTTGTGGATGCTCTACAGAAACAGAGTGAAACAGGTGTTAATGCCTGCGGGGTCACATGAAACAAGTTCTGGGGACAGAGGCTTAGAAGGTCACAGACTGAGCACAGAGGACCTGCAGCCTTGGCCTCTCCCTTCTTTCTTCACCACGTGGGTTCCCCCAGAGCCAACAGGAACGTGGCAGGTGGTTCCCCCTGAGGGATCAGGGGCTCACTAGGTACCCCTACCTGGTGGGACCTTCGTCTATAATGGAGGTCTAATGACGAATTATGGGGGATGATGGCAAGGGAAGATGTCTTTCTGACATCAAAGTAAGGGCCTTTTTAGGTTGCAAAATGGCAAGGAAAAGGATTACGTAGCTTTATTTGGGCCTAAAATTCTTATATTTGAAAGCTGTTCGGTCAGGGTGAGGGCTTTGTTGGAAAGGGCCCTGGCTGGGGGTTAAGAGTCCTGTTTCTGACATTCATTTCACCGTCCCCTTTCTGAGAAGATGGGTAGTAATCCTCATGGCAGTTAGGAGCAAAGCCATCTGGGTTAAACTCCTATCATAACAGTCTGCATGCCGTAGAGGAAGTCACCCAATTTCTCTGGCTTCGGCATCATCTCTGTTAAGAGACAAGAATATCCCCTACCACTTATGACCGTTAGGGGCATTAATGAGTTAATATTTGTAATGTTCTTAATACAGTACCTGATACACAGTAAGCACTGTAAGTTTCCCATCTAGGTATTTATTTTGTAACATTTACACAATAAAATAATCAATGTTTACGGAGCACTACTACGTGCCAGGCACTGTTCTAAGTAAGCAGTTCTGCGTGCAGGTTGGGGAGAGGGACGCTTGGGGAGACTGGAAAGTTTCTTTTGCAACACAACAGAAGCCTGAGCTGGCCTTTCTGGTGGATAGCTCTAGGCTAAGGGTGGGCCCAGGGCCCTGGGTGAGCTGAGCTGGCTAAACCAGCCTTGCTGACTGTGGGAAGCAGGCAGTTGGGGTCAGTGCCCAACGCTGGGGACAAGGCACCCCCCAACCGCCCCCCCCAACAGCCACTGTGTACCTGGGTCCCACAGATGAAGCGGGTCGAGCTAAGGCCGGCTCCAAACTCCTCCAGGGCCTGCAGACCTGCCTGGATGACCTCAGGGTGGCTGCTCAGGCCCAGGTAGTTGTTGGCACAGAAGTTAAGGATTCCTGAAGTGGAGGACGGTACGGACACAGCGGCTCAGGGCAAGAAAGGGCCTGGAAAGGGGTCTGTGCCAGGCCCTGGGAACTCAGAGAGGAGACAAACCTGGATTTGCCCTTGACAAGGCAACAACCACACAGTATGATCCACTGTGGGGCAGAGGCCAGAATGGGGAGCTAGGGGCCCCCAGTAGGGACTCAATCTGTCAGGTACAGCAGAGGGAGGGTCAGGAAAGGCCCCTCAGAGTGGTGCCTTGAAGGGTAAGAAGTTTAGACTCTGGCTCTGAATCACATTGTACCCAGTGAGGAACGTAGCCCTACCTCACAGGCTTCTCCTGCCCCTGAACACCACCAGCAAAGCCCCATGTGGGCCCTGGTTCCCTTGTAGGTAAGCGAGCAGGCTCACGAGCCCAGTGTGGTCCTCAGACTCTGCACAGCTGACTTTGCTCCTGGTACAGAATCAGTGTCTGAAGTGTGTGGGTGTGGGGGGGGGGTCTCCTTGAGACCTCAACTCCTGACTTATAAAGCCCAAAGTGAACACAGCTGACCTGAGGGGGAAACTGAGGCCTGTAAAGGGCAAAAGCACGAGGACAACCTGTCTCTCCTCGTTTCCCATGTTTTGACCTGCTCCAAGCTTCCCCCAGGCAGGGGTGGGGCATTCGGGGGAGGATAGGGAGGGAGGCAGAGATTTTTTTTGGGCACCTCGGTTTACAAATAAATACAACAGCACCAAGGATCCCAGGCCTATTTCCTGAGCAGAAAGCAGGTTTGGGAACCTGTTTATAAGCAGCACCATCTGGGGCCTGGCACGGACAAGACAGGCGGTGACCACTGGTTAGACAGACATGAGGAAGGCCCAGTGGGTCAGTTCATGGTGTGACTCCTGCAGCAGCCGGCCGCCTCCCTCTCTGGGCAGCAAGCTGGCTTTTCTGACCCACTGGCTGACCTTCTAGCTCTACTATAAGGGAGAACCTGGACCAAAGCCCAGCTCTGCCCGCTGCTAGCAGGGGCTTTTGGGGAAGCCATTCCACATCTCTGAGCCTCAGCTTCTCTGTCTGTACAATGGGTTTAGTTCTTCCCATGCTGGGAGGTCCCCAGGAGTCCACGTGCAGCAGGGAGTGGAGACCAGCTCCAGGCGGCAGCTCCAGAAACGCGGGGCTTCTAGCTGCCTTCTTCCCACCCCCTTCCTTGAAGCAGCCAGGTGGGAGCCAGCTGGGTGTCTCTCTTTTTCTCTCACGTTCTCACAGGACCGGGTCTCACTCCAGCCCTACCCTGAGTCAAGAAGGTACTCAACAGCATATCACATCCCTCCGTGGAAACAGGTTTAACTAGGTTCCAGGGAACCCTGGGAAGCCGTCAAGTCAGCCTGATAGATTGGGAAAGGTGCCTGAGGCTACGAGAGCAGATATCACCCACTCCCCGGCCCCCTGCCACCCGGCCCTCTATTCCATCCTGGAACCAAGGTCTGCGAACACCCAGCCGGGTCCGAAGACTCCCAGGAGTGGGGGAGTTACCTCCGGAGACCCCGTCCACGTGGATGCGCGGCCCCTGACGGGACGTAATGACCCGCTCGCTCTTCCAGGTGCCAGCGCCGCGGATCGCTTCCAGCTCCTCCTGCAGGACGCCACGCAGCTGGGTCAGCGCCGACTGCGCGCGGCGGCTGCTGGTGGCCGCGGAGAGAGAGGCGTGGAGCGCGCGACCGGCCCACATGGTGCCCACCTTCGCCCGAGCGCTCCCGCTAGCCAGGGGTCCTGCGAGCCGCGGAAGACTCTCGGTCCCGTGGCCTGGTGGGGTGGGCGGGGGCCGAGCCTCGGCGGCCAATCGGAGCAAGAGGGCCGTTAAAGGGGCGGGGAGGCGGGCCCAGGGATGGGTAGGAGGGGCCTGGCGCGACCCACTGAGGATAGAAGTAGATTGACGTGTAAATTGAGACTGGAGCGCTCCCCGTGGGGGAAGGGAACGCTACCTGGCGGAGGGTGGCGAGCCCCAGGGCCCAGCCCACCAGACCCCCCACCGTACTCCCAGCCCCTGCCTACACACCCAGCGCCCGGAAGGAAACAGGGTGCACCCTGGACCCCAAAGGCAAGACCCTAGAAGCAGGCTGAGGCACGCTCCGTACTCTTCAGTCCCGTTTCCCGGTTCCTGTCGAACTGTTGCAACCGTCCCCCATTCGCAGGTGCAAACACCCCCAGGATTTCACCCCAGCTCGCCTAGCCGATTGCTCTGCATTTGCCTCCAGCCTTAAAAGTGAGGGAAAAAAAAAATGCACCGTTCAGGTTTCATTTTTCAATTTTATTTTAAAGTTTTAAAATTACAAAGACAGCAAATTCTGCCGGCACAAATAACACTTGTTTAAAAAAAAAAAAAAAAAAGGAGGGGGGTGGACCACGCACAAGTGTGTATTTCCCTATATTATTAAAAATAAAAGACGACTGTACAGGTTTTTTCTCCCAGCTCCCGGGCGTGAAACGTTAAGTACTAGCTCTAGATATGTATATATACATATACACACATACACACAGACCTAGCTCTGTGAAACTACTTAGCAATTCAAAATCGACTGCAGTATGTCTTATTGTCCACTCCCCGCCCACTCCCCCGTCCCCCATCTACAGCTACTTTTATAAAAGACTCAAAAGTAAAGAGGTCGGGAGGTTTTTAAGTGGCAGGTGGCAAGGCTGGAGCCCCACCAGGCCAAACCACCTATCTTTCTTACACAGGAGGAACCAAAAACCAGGCGAAAAGGAAAGAAGTCCTCCTATGATACAATCCAATTGTGTGGAAAAACCCAACTTTTAACAGGGCACACTGAGGCACTTGGCTGACTGAGTCCCCACCCTTCCCCCAAAGTTTCCACTCCCATTTAACATGAGACTTTCTGAAGTCACAACCCCCCCCCAATGGCTAGTTTCCAGCTGACTGAAAGAAGCCGCTCAAACAGCTTCTCAGACCAGCTGTCACTAGGACACCCTCCCTTCCCTTCCCTAGGACAATAGGGAGGCCACAGGGGCACTCTAACAGTGAGAAGGAAACTGCATTTGGACCCCCCACCGCTCAGTATTGGAAGGTGGAAGTCAGCCTGGAGAGGGGTCCCCCCCCCCACTCCCTCCTTTGCCATCCAGCTGCTGCCACCCCTCCCCTCTCCCCACCAAAGTTCTGGAACTCTCACAAGCGGTGTGCAACCTAGAGAAGGCTGGCTCACCTTAAAGCTACTCCTACAAACCTTACCATTTCCAGGCTCCCCCTCTTCTAGTCCGAACGAGCGGCCTTGCCCATTCTCTCCTGACCCTTTACCTTCCTAATGAACAAGCCATCCAACCAAACAAAACACACAAACCCACCCAAGTCCCTAAACCCATTAAGTAGATTAATAACAAGTCAACGAAACAAAATATAAGTACATTCTCATCATTAGACATGAGATTTGTGGTTGCTGTCCTTGAGCGACTGGTTAAGGAAAAATGGATTATTCCCTAATTTCTGAGGCATCCAAATAAGGGGCAAAGGACTGCAGATGAAGATCAAGAGAGAAAAGAGAGAAGTATTTACAGAAAATAGGAGACAGGCAGGACTGTCCACAAGAAAAGCCCCATTGTCACTTCTTCTTGCTGGCCCTCTTGGCACTGGACTTGGCTTTGGGCTTCACTGGTTTGGCCTTCTTAGGCTTGGATGCCTTGACTGGCTTGGCCTTGACAGTCTTGGGTTTTTTGGTTTTCTTGGGCGTGGCAGCCGGCTTCTTCTTGGCCTTCTTGACTGGGGTGGCTTTGGGCTTCTTGCTTGGGGCTTTGGAGGCAGCCTTCTTGGGCTTGGCTGCCTTCTTTGGCGTGGCCACCTTCTTGACTTCCTTCTTCGTCTTCTTGAAGGCCACTGACCTCTTGGGCTCGTCGCTTTTGGCCAGCCGGAAGGACCCTGAGGCACCCACCCCTTTGGTCTGCTTAAGGACCCCAGTGGTGACCAGGCGCTTGATGGACAACTTGATCTGCGAGTCGGCGTTCTCACCCACCTTATAGTGGCTCTTGATGTACTTCTGGATGGACTGGCGCGAGGAGCCAGCGCGGTTCTTCTCCGCCTGGATGGCAGCCACGATCATGTCTGAATACTTGGGGTGGTCTGTGGACTTCTTGGAGGCCTTGGCCCGCTTGGGCTTGGCCGCAGGGGTGGATGTGGAGTTCTCGGTCATGGTGGCCTGTCTGGTCCAGCTGTTGGAGGACGCGCCTTCAAAAGGGCCAGCCCTCGTCGGAGGCCGAGGAAAGCCTTACTCGGGATCTGCTCTGGCGCTCCTCCTGACTCCCGGGCCAGTCCGGGGCCCGGCTCTCAGGGACCTGGCTCGGGTCGCGGGAGGACTCGCCAGGCCGCCTCTGCGTGGCCCAGTCCCGCCGCTCTGTCGCTCGGTCTCGGCGCCCGGCTCCGGCTCGGGTTCGGGCTCAAGCGCGGGCTCTGCCTCCGCCTCCTCTGCCTCCCCTTTCCCAGCTCCGCGTCTGGCGCTCGGGCGGCGCATCCGGGTATTTAGCGGCGGCGGGCGGACCGCGGTGAGGACAGGGCTGCTGGCTGCCTGCTCCCGGCCCGGAATGGCGCCGCGCCGCCGCCATCTGTGTTTCTTCCGCCGAGCAAATCTGACCTTTCCCCCCGGCCCGGGCCTTCCCGCTCCCCGCCGCCGCGCGGGACCGCTGCCTGGCTCCCTGGGCTCCCCGGCCGGGCATCCCGCCGGCCCGGCCGCTGCCCCCCGCGCCCGCCACGCGCCCCAAACGGCGCCGAGGACCGCTGGTGCGCCTGCACATTTCCCCTTTGCGGGGAGCTGGCTCTGCGGGGCCAAGGAGCCCGGGTGCGGGAAACCCCCCGTAGCAAAGCTCCCCCCTGGGGCTACCGGAGAGCCCGCTCCCGGCCCGCGTCGGGACCCCCCAGCCCGGCGGAGCGGCTGGAAAGCGGCCCCAACTAACACACGCTGCCCAGAGCCGGGCGACTCCCAGCCGGGCCGAGCCGGGACAGGGGGGAGGGGTCGCTCCCCCGGGGTCCGGTCACCTCTCGGGGGTCATCCCGCCACCGGGCCCCCCGCACCTCTACCCCTTCTCTGTCCTTGGGGCCCCTAAGCAAACTTTCCCTGGAAGAGTCGTAAGGGCACTTTCAAACTTTGTCCCTTCCCCCTCCTCTGCCGGTTCTCCCCCAGCGTGCCCCCTGACCTCTGCGTGGCGGTTCTCTCCTGAGGCCAGACCCCCACTACTGCCTGGGACCCCCGAGGGATTGAGGAGGGGTCTCCCGAGTCCTCTCTTTTCCTCAGAGACCCCCCACATCGCCCATATATCCTAACCGGGAATTCATTCATTTGCCTCTCTCAGCCTGGGCGTTTTGGGTATCTCAGAGGCTGATCCTTGCTGTCCCCACACCTGAGGCACAGCCTGGGGGTCAAGTCACCCTCCCAAGGTCCCTTGAAGTCAGTGGGGGAGGGGTCTGCAATGGAGGAGCTGTCCCAAAGGCTCCAACAAGAGACTTGTCCTGGGGGCCCCTGGGATGAAGAGAGGCCCTGAGTGCTTTGGGAACTTGGAAAAACGGGGCTCTGGGGGAGAGGTAGAGGAGGGGGTCGCGTTACTTGGGTCCTGACTAATCCTCGGAAAGTGTGCAGTTGCTCAGGGAGCGGTGGCCGGGACCACCGCCATTTTGCTGGGAGGATGCGATGTCTTTGTTAAAACGTATACCTCTTTTCCGTGCTGCTTGGCAGGTATAGATGAAGTGAACAAGGGGTGTCACCGTCCGAAGGGAGTCTTGAGGGCCTCCGAGGGACTTTAGGGGTCCAGAGGCCAGCAGAAAGGACCCCAGAGTTCCTGGGACCCCTTGTCTATGAAACACATCCTAATCACGTGCAGGGCCCGCTTGGCAGGGACCCTGGGTTGAGATTCTGGGATGCTCCCTCCCTAAGCCCCCCCTCCCACAACAAACCCGCTTTTATTCCCTAAGTAAAGAGGCAGGGCACTCTTCATTTAAACAATACCCTGGGAGTGGGGGGTTTATAGCTGGTCAAAATGATGAACGTGTCTCTGTTATGGTCCCGGTGCTGTTTGCAGACACTGGCTGTTGGGGAGGGGAGGGGGGATGGTTGGAGGGTTTAGGTGGGGGATGGGGGGGTCGTAGCTGCGATTGGGGGAAGGGCTCTTACTGGACTTGGGGAGCCTCTGAGGCCAGGGAAATTAATAGGTTTCCCCCACAAACACCAAGGGATGGATTAATCCAAATGGTGGCGGGGCGGGGGGGGGGGTGGCGGGAGAGGGAGGCCTGAGACTCGCTATCAGATGCCTTCTCACCGGCTTATCTTAGTGGCACTGGCACAGGCAGGGAAGGGAAGCGACCAAGGGCCAGGTTAGTTCAAAAGGTCAAGGTTCTTATTTGGATGATGTCATTTACCCCGAAGTTTCCTGATTTGAAAACACAACATTTTGGTGGATTTGTTTTAGTTATTTACAAAGACAGTTCTGGTTCTCACTAAAATCTGGAGGGGGAAATAGGCCATCCTAATAGCCACCCCTGGGTCCGACATGGGTACACACACCCCACACACCACACCCACGCCACGGCCCTGGCGTCTTAAAATAAGGACTAGATGAATCCTTTGGCACGATGATGAAACAATTTTATTTACACAGCGCCTTACAGTTTGCAAAGTGCTTGCTCTCCACGTTTCTTGATTCTTTGCGCCTCCAGCCTGGGGAGGAAGCCACCGTGATCACTCCGCTCCCCCCATCCCCATTTTACAGTGGAAGCCGCGGGATTCGGAAGGATGGCTATGGGGGTGCACTGAGGCTCAACTCCCGGCGCCCCCAGGTCTTCCCTTCATTTTGTAGCTCTCACATCCCATATCCCTACCCATCCCAGAAACCTGTAAATTCTCTCCCGGGAACTGAAGCCAGAAATGGAGGGAGGGGTCGCCTCGGAGTCGCGGGAGCTTCCCGCCGGCAGACAGCCCACGTCCAGTCCCGTGGCGGGATTCACTATCCCAACCACCCCCCCACCCCCTCCCCCGCCCCAGTTGGAGAGAAGGGAGGAGAAGGGAGGGGGCCGGGAGTTGGGAGCAGAGTCCGAGATCAAGGGGACGAGATGAGGAAAGGCTGCCTCCAGATTGGATTGGCCTCACCTCCCTTGGTTGACACTGCAGGGCCTGGGGGGCTTCTTGACTCCGGCCCGGCACCCCCGCGGACCGCTCTCTGCCGGCACCAAGCGCCAAGCCGTTTTCCGGCCCGCGGACTGCGAAACTAACCACCCTCCCACCCGCGCCTTTTACGCGAGCCCTTTAAAAACCCGGGAGCAGCAGCGCTGCGGGCAACTCCTCCTGGGAAATGTAGTCCCCTGGCGCCCGAGTCCTCGCATGGTTCTCCCATCCCCCTCCCACCCAGGACCCTCTTGAACCTCAGAACCGCCTGTCCACCCCCGGCGAGGGGCGGTCAGACATCATCTGTCCAGTCACACGGGGAGGGGCCCAGCTTTCTTCACAGCTGTTTTTTCACCTGTGAAGAAAGGCTTCGGTGTCTCCACCTGTAAAAGGGTGAAAGGCCATCTGTCCTACCTACCTCTGGGGTTGATGTAAGGGTGGAATGAAATCCTGTACGGAAAAGTGTAAATTGCATTAGAATGCCATGGGTCAAGTTTTTCTAATGTTCGTATGTTTGCGTGTGCCAGCCTTTATTAAGCCCTTGGTGCACACATAACATCTTCATTTTTCAAAAAGGAGGTCTAAAATGACTGAATGACTTATCCAAGGTGGGTCAGCCTGAAGGTGGGTGGCAGGGTGACACTCCCAAGCCAATGCCTCCCACTGCACCACCTGTGGTCTCATGAGACCTTGCAAGACATGCACTCATTCTGGGTTTTAGAACCTTAATTCCCAGGCACTGGGGTAGGCACCGGGATATGGCTGTGAACAAGAGATAAGAGATTCCTGCGCTTGTGAAGCTGACATTCTAGTTGAAAAAATAGATAAGCAATAGACCAGATAAAGAAGTCAATTACACAGTGCGTTGGAAGGCCATAATTGCAAAGACAAAATTAGAACAGGATAAGGGGAAGGTGAAGGGCATTGCTAAGAGGAGGTGGTTGGCAATTTTGAACAGGGTGGTCAGAGAAGGCCTCATTAAGAAGCTGACATGTGCGCAAAGATTCAACGGAGGTAAGGGAAGAAGGCATTCTTATTCTTGGAAAAAAATTCTTCCAAGCAAAGGGAACAGCCTGTGCAAAGGCCCTGTGGCAGGTACAAGGTGGCTGAATTAAGAAGGACAGCAGAAGGAGATGAATTTTAAAAAGGTAAGGGCTGGGGAAGTAAAGGAGGTACAGGTCAGATGGGGTTTGTGGGACTTTGGCTCTTACTTGAATGAGATGGGAGTCATGGGAGAGTTTTGAGTAGAGGAGGACATGATGGGACCCACAGACAATAGTCCGACCCGGTTCACTCTGACTGCTGCGTGAAGAGGCTGCAGAGGGCAAAGACAGAAGCAGGGTGAGGAGGTGGTTGTGATAATCCAGGTGAGAGATAATGGTAATTGGGCCCAGGTGACAGCAGTGGAGGGGATGGGAAGTGGTCATGTCCCAGGGACACCCCAAGGACTTTGGCTTTAACACTAGGAGACAGAGCTGTCGTGGACTGAGGCAGGGAAGACTGAAGGTGAGCAGGTGGGAGGGGTCTGGCTGGGTTAGGCTGGAGATGTCTCCCACATGGATGAGTGGAGATGCGGAGAAAGCAGGTGAATAGGAGGACCCTATAGGGAGAGAGTCTGAGGTCTCAGATGCGCATCTGGGATCTGTCAGCAGACAGTGGGCATTTAAAGGATGGGATCAGAGAGACAGCTGACTGCAAGAAGGACCGGGCCTGGGGACACTGACAGGAGGATGTGGGAGTGAAGAGGAAGCACTAGCAGAGGGAACCAAGAAGGAACTGCCAGAGTTGAAAGGCAAACCAGGGGAGGAGGGGTGTCCCGAAGGCCAGGGAGGAAGGAGAGAGTATCAGGGTGGGGCAGGCGAGGCCAACCTCTCCAATGCCACCAGCCAGGGCCACAAAGGCCATCATCTGCCCTCATGGGAGGGACGTCCCCGTCATCTGGAGAATGAAGATGGTTGACCAGAAAATCTACTAGAGCCCTTCCAGCTCTCTGGGACTCAGGGAGGGTTGGGGGCCTAGGGTGGGAGGGTGTTCGGGCCACAGGTTCAGCTCCCAGCTTTCAAACATCGTTCCTTCAAGGAAAAAGAGGAAATAAGAACCTTGGCAAGAGGCTGGGGAACGCAGGAAGATTTCCCAGAGGACGCAGGAGCCAGGCTTTGAAGGAGGAGGAGGATTTTCACTGGAAAGGGGCGTTCGCTGGAAGTGGGTGGAGCAACTGGAGTGGAGGCGTGGCCACGGGCACGTAGGTGACTGCACAGGCAGAAGTGAGGTGACCGAGG